CTCCCAGTAAAAATTTCATGACATTTCATCTATTGGGAGTGAAGTTATTGCGTTTTAAGTGTCAGTATGTTTTTGTCATCGGTGCGAAAATGAGCTTCGAACAAAGAGCCAACATTAAATTTTGTTTTAAAATTGGTAAAACTTTTACCGAAACGTTTCAATTGATGCAACAATTTTATGGCGATCATTGCCTATCCCGTAGCAGAGTGCACGAGTGGTTTCATCGTTTTCAAAGTGGTCGTGAGGACATAAATGACGATGAGCCGAAACCCAAAAAATCGCGCCTGGAGAAGTCAAAAGTGAAGACAACGCTGATTTGTTTTTATGAATCCAAGGGTATTGTCCACAAAGAATTTGTTCCTCCTGACCAAAACGTTAATGCTGTATTCTACCTTGAATTTTTGAAGAGTTTGGTGCGCCGTATTCGACGGGTTCGGCCCGAATATCGCGAAGATGGAAGTTGGCGTTTGTTGCACGATAATGCGCCGTCTCATCGATCGACGCTTGTGGGCGATTATTTGACCAAAAATCATATTTTAACAATCAACCGCTCCCCGTATTCACCTGATATGGCACCGTGCGACTTCTACGTTTTCGGAAAAATACATTTGCCGATGAAAGGAAAGCGTTATGCAGACCATTCAAAAAGCTTGCACCGATATACTGGCGGCCATACCGGGCAACGAGCTAAAACACTCGTTCGACAAGCTTTTGGACCGTGCAAAAAGCTGTATTAAAGCAGAAGGAGACTATTTTGAATAAAATGAATTGATTTTGCCGATAAAACCATTTGTTCTGCCTTTTTTTTAAAGTCCTGTTTACTTTGGAATGCTCCTTGTAGTTAAAGATGTAATTCTTAAGTGAATATTAATTGTTTCTTCGAAATATTAGTTCAAATATTAATATGAAGACATAAGTATGTATGCATATCGAATGCAACTAGTCTAGTAGTGAGCTAACAAATTGCCTAAAATTCTCAATTAATATCAAATGTTTAACGGCATAATGCATATTTATAAGCAAAGCAAAGTTTTTGCTTTTAATTTAAAAACATTTTGCGAATTTATCCCCGAAATTCTGGGACGGTATTATAAAGCTGACAGTACACAATGATTGGTTTGTATCACCACCAGAGCGTTCCAGATGATCTTTCAAGCTTAACCCTAAACAATTAAGAATGTGAACCACCGATAACACCGGCAATATAAGTACCTATATTTTCTATAGTATTGAATAATATGACTGAGCTTTAGAATAGAATCCTTCTGAATTCAGGGATAAAATGGGTATGGGCGGATGGATAATGTTCTTCAGATTAAGAATACATACGTATATACGTAGAAGGCCCATTCACATACAACTTTCCTCGCTTTACGTGACAGTTAATAGTAAAACAAGGAAGAGCAGAAAAAAAGTGTATGTCACAATGGATGCTTTGATTTCAGTGTTTCTGACTGGCGACTGGGGCTTTTTATGTGAACGTACTCATACAAAAGCATACATCGAACTTTTCTGTCAAAACAAATGTTTGACGAAAACCGAAGCAAAAGTTCTATGTGAATTGTGTTTCGAGATAGGTAAGTGTATAGTTTAGGTGTCCAAACGATAAAGGGTGCGTGCGGGGAGGTTTTTTTGACGCGAAGATACAAAAGATCGATTTATTCAATAGTTCTATTTTTATTTTTTTAAATTTTTAATAAACGAATTTTTACAAAAAAAAAATCAAAGAATTAACACACTTTTCACTTGTTCTTTCGTGTAGTAACTCCTTTCTCCACATGTGGCCTTCAGCCGCGCTTCAAAAAAATAACCCTGGTCGATCCAACACCACGCTATCCGTAGTTAGTTTGCATGCTGAAAGGAGTTCGATACAAAAGAACTATTGAAACCCCGGTATTGGACCAATCAAGGTTATGTTTTTGAAGTGCGGCCGAAGTCCGCCATTGTGGAAAGGAGTTCGACGATCTTCTCTATTCGTCCATAATATCAGATCGGTGCGTGAAAGAAATTGTGACTGTTAAATTTCTTCAGAATTTTTGAAAAAAATAAGTCAAACTCGTTGAACTTGTAATTACAGCTAAGTGATCTGAATTGTACAGAATTCTACCGCTACAACAACGGGGAAACTTTAGTATACCATCCCACGACTTAAAGGTTAAAAGGGATATGATTGGATAGAGGATATAACGAAATTGTGTTACAAATAAAATGCTTATTGAAAGCAAATATGAAAATAATTCATATATTGTAAAATAAATATGTAGAAACAATAGTGTTAGTGTATAATAAGTGTATAATATAAAAGAAAAATTAACTATAAATCGAGAAAGATAACAGTAGTCAAATTTTAAACTTAAAATGCAAATATCTCGAAAACTATAAGTTTCGGCGGTCATACTTATATATATTCTTGGTCTGGATAATCTCCTCTGTCCAGCCCAGTGATACCAACTTGGGGGGATTTTCCTCTAATTTTAGGGTTTTTTTGCAAGTAGTGGGAAACTTTTGGGGGATGAATTTTTTAGGGCATTTTTTTGAGGATTCGAATGTTTATGAAGATCTTGATTCAGGTGGTATCTAAAGATTTAAAAATGTTTCCAAATTTGCTTTAGCACTGTTAACTTTTCCTATCTCAAATGCTGTTGTCGAGAGAGCATTGTCAATATATGTATGCTTTGATATAAAATAAGTTAAGAAACAAATTAACATTAGATATGGTTCAGAGTATAATGATGGTTAAATTTTCTCTGCAACGAAATTACAAACAATGTACTTTATTTGTACCCACAAAAGAAATGTTGAGCATGTTTACTGTTCACATTTATGATTTTAAAAATGACTGTGAAAAAGTAAGTGATTCGGAGTTTCAGGAATTGCTCGCTTTAACAAACGGAATATAGGTAATTTAAACGTTGAAATGTGTGAATGATAAAGATTAACTTTTTAATTTACTATTAAAAATATTAGTAAAGTAAATATTATATGAGATATAATATAAATAACAAGAATGAAAAGGGTCGGCTTTAGTATACCGCCCCAGGCTTCCGGGGATAAAATGGTTATGGGCGGATAGAGGATATCCTCCAGATCAAGAATATATATAGATATAACGGGAAACTTATAGTTTCTGAGTTATTTACGTTTAAAGTTGAAAATTTCAACTATTTTAAGTACGTATTTTTTCGATTTAAAATGAATTATACACTTATATTTTTCTCTTTTATATCCACTAACACTTTACTAATTCAGTTTTGATATTTATTTATAGATTTTGCAAGAAAAATAAAATAAACTGAGAGATTATACCCTAACGCCAAAAGAATTTCTGCGCAAAGAAACTTTGGTAAACCCCGGTGTTGGATCGACCAGAGTTATTTTTTTGAAGCGCGCCAACGCAAAAAGTAGTTCTACGCGAAAAGACCTTGGTACACCCCGGTGTTGGATCGACCAGGGTTATTGTTTTGAAACGCACCAACGCAAAAAGTAGTTCTACGCGAAAAGACCTTGGTACACCACGTTATTGGACCGTCCAGGGTTATTTTTTTTTTTTGAAGCGCGGCCGAAGGCCTCCAACGCAAAAAGAACTTCTACAAGAAAAAGTATTATTGTCATAGAGGATATAACATAATACTTAACATCAATGCTCTCTAATAGCTTATTTTTCCTGGTTTTGGATTCCTGTATTTGAGGTATTATTTGATTTCATTCATTACAGTTCAATTACAAAAGATGTCAATAAGGTATTTGACATTTTGCAACCCTTTTGATATTGTCAGAATTAATAGAATTTAACAATAATTTAAATATTGAATTAAAGTATTTTTCCACTATATAATGTAAAACAAATTTGTACAAACGAATTAGTGAAGTGTTAGTGGATATAAAAGTGAAAAATATAAGTGTATAATTCATTTGAAATCGAAAATTTGTATACTTGAAATAGTTGAAATTTTCAACTTTAAACGTAAATATCTCCTAAAACTATAAGTTTTCCGTTATATCTATATATATTCTTGATCTGGAGGATCTACTCTATCCGCTCATACCTAATTTATACCCGAAAGCCTGGGACGGCATACTAAAGTTTTCCCCAAAAAAACTTCCTACACATCTTTGTTATTTAAATTAATAATTATTTTAACTATTTAATTTATTTTAATTATATCGATTTTAGCTTTTCGCTTTTGTTTTCTATTTAGGGACTTTTTTAAAGGCTACAGGGGACAGTTTTTTCAATAGTTGGGGACACTGATCCAGCCATACCCCTTTTAACCCTCAGATCGTGGGGTAGTATACTAAAGCCGACCCACGACAAAAACTAAGTTATTTTAAAAATTAAAATATATATATATATACCTATATATATGTACATATGTTCGCGTCAAAATAAAACGATTTAAGAAAAAAAAAATTTTTTTTGGGGCCTCCTTCGTTGGGGGACCTTAACTATACATTTACCTTGAGATATTCGAGCCTAGTCCAAAGTTCACAAATTAAAGTAATTAATTTTTCTTTGTTTTATAAATTTAAACTTATATTATTCAATATTATATCCACGAATACATCACTATATAGTTTCTTTAATCATAAATAGTGTACAAATAGTTTTAAATCGTAATAACTGCTATTTGTACATATGGTATTATATATATTCTTAATCTAGAAGACATCATCTATCTGCCTATACCGATTTCGATATATGCTATACTATACTAATCGTTAATTCTTACATGAGGTACTCAAAAAACGAAATTTCGCATCTTCTGCTTCCATAATTAAGGAGTTGCGACCCAAAGAGTCTCGGCATACATAAAGACTTCCGCTACTCTTGTTGTAGATTATCAGACTGAAAGGGCCTTCTAATGATTGAATTACACTACAAATATCGCTTTCACACTGACATTTGTTTATTTCATTCCCGAACCACTCCGTGTCAGAACACGTGGGTAATTCAGAAGGTATATTGAATATATCACCATTAAATAGTATAAGGAAATTTCCAGTTTCAAAAGGTTGTGGGCAAACACTTAATCCTTGTTGCCAAAGTACTGAACATGCAAAAACCATTTGTATATTATCATAATTGATTGCAACGGAAGATGAAAAATCAGGTCCTCGTCGTGTCAAAATATTTTTAAGTTCAGTTCTCCTACAAACTTTATCACAGTTTAAACCGCAAAAAATACCACACATGATTTGTTATAATGCAGATTCCACCAGAAATAAACTAACACTGAGTTCTCACACGAAGACCTATTATGGTGCCGGATTGTGCAGCAGACACAGTTCTAATCCCTGGTTCTAATTAGAGCGTTGCCATGTCAAGGATGAAATGAAACGAAACTCTTTGATTTGAGAGAGAGCTGTCTAAACCCAGATTTTTTATAGCATTTATCAATCATGCCACTGTCAAAAGAAAATGGATTGGGTATTATAAATAAAACTTTTGAGTATTTTGCATTTCGTTATTACATTTAGGTGCTCCGTAACCGAGTAGGCTTATATAACGCATATACATCCTTAAATACGCGTATTCATATTATAAAATTTTTGAACTATCATAAAACATAAAAAAACTGCATATAAATAAAAAAAAATTATAACAAAGAAACAATACAAGTCATAATAAAAGATCATGGTTTTCTGATCAACGTTTTAAATTAAATTAGCAAATAAAATTTAGTTGCACGTTATTAAAAGTATTTGTCATTCCTTGAAATTTGCTTTCGCACTGCTTATGTTAGCTATTTTTAGCGGGTTAATTTCTGGCATCCAGTCTCTTTTGACATCAGCTGTTCGAAATTTCCTGATTTTAATAATCAGGGAAAGAGAATAACAGAAAAATCAGTGAAAATGAGAGAGTATTGCATCATGTCATCCTTGGCCGTGTTAAGAGCAATTGAGTTATAAGCAATAAGTTGTAAACTCTATTAACGAGAAATAAATGTTGAGTTGTTAGAATTAAATTGGGATTTTTATTTAACAATTCAGTGAGCGAACTCAAGAGTGAGCTACAATGTAGACGATTTATCAAGAAATCCGTTACAATATTATATTGTGCTTACGCTGAAGTTACACGATCAAGAGCTTGCTTTCAAGTTAATTACACAAACTCTTTATAAAGGGTGTTTTTTAGAAGGTTAGAACTTTAAATTGTAATAAAACAACGATGGTCGCCAAGCGTGCATTTCAATAAATCGATTGTGGCACAGCTATGGGACATGTTGCGCCGTCTTGTTGGAACCACAGCTCTTGGACATCATGGTTGTTCAATTCAGGAATGAAAAAGTTAGTAATCAGGGCTCTATACCGATCACAATTGACTGTAACGTTCTGGCCATCATCGTTTTTGAAGGAGTACGGACCAATGATTCCACCAGCCCATAAAGGGCACCAAAACAGTCAGTTTTTCTGGATGTAACGGTGTTTCGACATACACTTGAGGATTAACTTCACTCCAAATGCGGCAGTTTTGTTTGTTGACGTAGTCATTTAACCAGGACCAGTCGACGAAAAAATGAACGTAGTGTAGATACGTATTCCGCACAGAACCATTATTTTCGAAATAAAATTGCACTATTTGCAAGCGTTGTTCATTCGTGAGTCTATTCATAATGAATTGCCAAACCACACTGAGAATAAATCAAATGACAGCTGTTAAATCGGTCGCCATCTTGAACAGTAATGCCAACTTAAAGTTCTACACCTCGAAAAAAACACTCGTTATCTATAAAAAATATAGTTTAAAGTGACGGCCGTGGTGTAATCTACAAGCAAAGGCGCCGTCAAAATTAGTTCTAGTACTTTATTAAAGGATAAGTATGCAAATGAAGCGCCGTATGTATCGTAGAATTATGCCACAACGAATACGTTGCGCATGTTGTACATAAATCAACTGTTCTTCACAACCGCTAATATCAAATGTTAATTGAATACGTTGCCGTCTTCTAAAGTTGAAAGTTGGTTTACCGGATACTTCTCTGGTAGAGTACGCATTGTCAATATGTTGCTCTTCATATAAATGCATACATTCAACTCAGGGGTCAGTTGCATACTTCATCGCTACGGCATCAACGTACTTATTCTAACGCCGCCTCAACTTGATAATCAATAATAGTTTCAAGGTCCAGAATTTTTGCATTTTTGAACTTTTCTGATTCTGCACTATTTGTTATTTTAGAGACACAGAGATATTAATTTCAGATGCTTCAAAACTGTTTTCTCGCATTGATCAGCTTTACGCTTGGCTTCGGTCTATCTGCACTGCCTGTACGATTTCGTATGAAAATGGTCGCACACTGTTTTGTCGCTTATTTCTCGCATTCGACATCTTGGCGCTCAGCTTGGCTTTGAGCGTCCACTCTGCAGGCACCCTAAAGGTTATTGTTTTGGTTAGCAGTTTGTTACCCCGAACATACAAATATATTAGCGCATTCGTAAGCAGAGGCAAAATTTCCCAAATGTAATTGCTTTTTTTCGATGGTCGAGCTTTTCTCGTACAAGAAAGGATTTTTGATTCAAAGCGATACATAACTAACAATGGTTTTTCGAAATTCGAGAAATTTCGAAAGTTATTGCCATTTATATTTTTTCTCATGATTTTGGAAAATGTTTATTTTCTCTTAACAGATTGAACCCATTTCGCCTATATTCAAGAGGATTATGAGTGAAAATGTGTTTTTCATTATATATTACTAATTTTTACTTTAATACTTACTTTCCTTTATTAAACATTTCAACAGATTTTATGGAACTCATCATAACATAGGTGAGTGTGTACATACATACATATATTAGTACTTATGTGCTTTGTTGCCAAATATAAACAGAATATCTAAAAATTATATACAGAGTCGCGCATTGTAAATAAACGAATCTTTTTGCTACATTTCTTAACATTGATATTAGCATTATTTTTCTAATTTCATACTGGCAATGCTCAATTCTGCTATTTTCGAGTTCGCTTTGTGCACTTTTACACAGGGATTTAAAAGAGTCTCATTTTTTTTGGTAACGCTCTGTGCATTCACACGGTCAAAAAGAGTCCAGCAACTCGAGTCTAGTTTTTCTGCATTCCTTTTCACAAAATTTTCGTAAATATTTGTGCGGTTCGACTGCGCAACACTGCGTGCTGCGTATTTGATTTGTATGTTGAGATGATGGTCACACATTTTGCTTGTAATGAATTACCATGAATATGGTAGAACAATATGCATAATACAAGTACCTACCCGCTAAATAGTTTCAATGAAATACTAAAGACGGGAATTCCCTAATCCACAAGAATGTATTTAATATACGCTACTAATATTTTCAAGGCCAATTTATAATAGGAATTTCCTAGTCTTTAAGTATTAAAAACTCATAATTTCTTTACTCCGTATTAAAAATTCATAATTTCTTTACTCCATAATCTATATCTTAATTTTCTCCTTATTTACAATTTGTCATAATATTTCTATTATTCTATGCAAATATGTATGCATAGAATAATAGAATTACAATTACATACAAATTAAAGATAACAGAACTCAAATTTGCGATCGAATTCATTTGAAACCGAGCGCTCTTGCAACCATTCAAAGAATTTGAAAGTGAAAAGGAATACTGAAAGGGGTAGCAGCGAGCTGTTACGAACAAGAACACAAAGTGTGCCACCCGAACACGAGTGACACGGTCCCTTCGTCTTTCCTCGTCGTCCCCTCGCCCACAATAAACTGGTTTGAGACTCTTTTGAGTCCCTGTGTAAAGTGCACTTTGGTGATCACGCTAATAATTTTCTGTGGTGAAACACGCTCATCGTGACGAGTAGCAGAGAACGTATATCATAGAGAAGGTTCAATTGCGGACCAGCGTGTGAATTGTCAAAACCTAACAAGATTTTATTAGTGAATTTCACCAAATCTGGCTCGGAAGGAGAAATTTTAACAGTGGCGCGTAAACAGAGCTGAGCATTCAATGAAAATTATGCTCAGAGACTTGCTTTGATATTACATGCATGTTAGCCTTTGGCTTATATTTTATACGTTTATATGCAATCATATTTATTGATATGAATATCATTTTGCGAATTTTATGAATGCATGCAAAATGATAAGATCTATTAAATTATGGAATTTCGAAATAATATTTATAGTCAATTTGGGCATTTATAATATTATATAGTTTTTACATAATATGCATTCTTATATAATTTTATATCTTTATCTATTAATCTTATATAGTCATATGTACATTTATCTGAACATGCGCATTTGAATGTACGCATTCAGAAATTCAAATCATAATTACTTATCAATACACTATATGCAGATATGTTAATAAATATAAATATTCATATATTAACATTCTCTGCTATATGTGCGCATATTGATTTATATGTCAACATATATATGTATTTATGTATATATAACATTGCCAACAAATAATGCATACACAAACCAACCTACATACATATGAATATCCGTACACATGTATATATAATATGTCACCTGCAAAAACTACAAACATTGTTCTACAAAAACAACAATCGTCACAAGTCAATATGTCAGCCAAATAGGCGAAGCCCAAATTTATAGTAAATTGCACAACAACAACTGTTTATTTAATTAATAAATTAATTTTCACTTCACTCACCTTTAGCACAAAATAATTGAAAAAAGAAAGAGAGTCGATTTCGGCGGGTGCTCAAGGAACTAATCGCTAGCGAGTCGATGCAAAAAAGGGAAGCGGGATCCTTCCTTTGGTCCCTTATATATCTGTTGATGTCTTCATGGTGGTGTGATCGGTGTTAAGTTGTATTTGTGTGCGTGTTGGTGCATGGTGTAGTGATGTGGAATGTATGGTATGTAGGTGTGGAATGTGTGGTGTGAATTGGTGTAGTGTGACAGTGTCTTACGGTGAGGGGGGATTGAGTGGTCATTTAGCCATCCCGGCCCCCCTAGGCAAATTATTAGCCTAGTAGTCGCTGCAGCTGTTGTAACGTTTCCACAACGCTGCTCAGTCCATTGGAACGACGTGGTTGCGGTCTAGGCTGTCGACGCCGTGGGGTTACATTCCGCGGGTGTACCGCACGAGTGGAGGGTCGAGGTCCTGTTGCGCGGATCCGCAGAGTAGGTGGCCGACCAACGTCGCGCCTCGAGGTGCGATGAAGGAGTGTGTGATGTGGTCTGCTGCACATTTGGCACAGACCCGTGGACACACACTCTTGAGTCCCATGCGTATGCGATAGGCAATTTAGACAGTGCCCATGTGCCTGGGCAACTTGTTGTCGTTGTAACGGTTGCATACTCCTGAAAATCCCACAATGTTGCAGACGATGTGGGCGCCGACAAATGGGACATCGTATACGATGTGCCTCTGAAGGCGGCGATGATAGCGTCGGTGAAGGTCGCGTGCCACCGCGAGGAACTGGTGCTGACCTAGGTGTCGTTACAGGTGCGCTTGCAGGGGCAGTTGCAGCTGCAGATCGGGGCGTTGGGGTAGGCCCGTGCGTGGCACGTTGGTAGCCGACCCACAGTTGGCGTGGGATAGTTGGCGTATCCACATCCATGTTAATCTGTATGAAAAGTTGTTTAATAATGCAGACTTGTTATAGAAAGGATATGGATGATCGTGCCACGTTATGTGGATGAATGGGTCATCGTATTGATCGACCATTTTTATTAGGTATTTGTTATTTAAACGGTTATTAACGAGTTTTCGGTTTTTGCTTATTGATTTGGTTATTTTATTGAATTGCGGTAGTATCGGTTGATTGTGTGCGATTTGCTGTGTCACTATTATCGGCAGTTGGGAGAAAGCATAGCTTCACGGAGTGCTCTATG